CAACCCACCCAATCGCAGGGCCTTCTGCCACGGGGAGAGCGACCCAACCCACTGCGAGAGAAGAACGCCTCTGTGAATGGCATCCTACGCTCGAGCCTGGCCCGTCTAAGTGCCGCCCAGTTCCTGGATGTGGGCGGCGGCTTCGTGCATTCAGACGGCACCATCGCTACCAGGGACATGTTTGACTTCCTCCACCTGACCGCCAGCGGTTACAGGGCAGTGGCAAAGCCCTTGAGCGACCTGCTGCTGCAGCTGCTGGAGGAGACTCCAGAGGAGAGGCGGGCTTCGCTCGTCTGAGATGGCGCTGTCCGAAGACGGGGGGGGGGGGGGGGGGGGGGGGGGAGGGGGAGAGAGGTAAATAGGGAACAAGTGCGGGTTCTGGAGAACTAGCACATGGTGAGATGGGGTATATACACACAGACATACACAGAAACAGCATTAATGAAGCAATATCAGCACTTAGACACGTAAGGTTGGGCACAAGCTGCAGTTGCATTTAGAGAGACTGAAACACTATAAGTGCTGCAGGAATGGAGGGGAGCTGAAGAACTGCCACACTATAGCGGCCATGTTTGCATGAGGTGGGACGCGTGTGCCAAAAACAACACCCACACAGCGCCCCCTCATGGTGGAGGAGCAGAATTGAAATCCACGGGAGAGGTAATTCCTCCTTGGGGAAACCCCATTTTGCCAGACGCTGGAGTCTCTGGCCGTTGTTCGCCTCAAGCCGACGTGCTTGGACGCCGTCCGAGTAAAGCTCCCCGCCTGTCGATTTTATGACCATTATCGAGGGAGATGCTTTCGAACAAAATGGGGTGCAATGTGGGAGGGCGAATTGCGTCACCAGCCCCTGTGAGAGTCTACTGGAGTGCATGCTGGGAAAGAGTCACAAAGGATTGTGGGTATGCCCATTGAAGCGTATGCTGCATTGGGGCTGCACCTGTCTGTGAATAGTGGTGTCCGACTCAAGATTATAGTATTCAATGCTACGCTTTCACAAGCCCCCCCCCCCGTTATCCACACACACTAAACTGTGCTCAGACTGTAGTATACAACCATTGAGCCTCTTGCCCCCCCCCCCGCCCCATCCTGTTGTCTC